TTTCGTCTCCTCTTTTTAAATTATTCTCCTCCTTCTTTAGAGTGAAACCACTTATCTCATTATTGAGGGCCCTTTCCCACACCCTGCTGTGCTGCACCGTGATCTCTCATTCAGTTATCAGTAATCCAACAAAGCTGGGATTCAGGTCTCTAAGCTTGTGAGACATCTCCTGTGGGCAGGGCCACCATGCTGCTAATTTGTACAGGCGCTTACTGACCTGACCACCTACAGTAGGTTATTCCATGATCTTAGATTCCCTAAGAGCCATTGGCCATCAGTTTTATCTTAAACAACTGAATAACAATTCATATTCTAGGATATTGTAGTGTTTATTTTTGATTGGGTTGCATTTATTTAAACTTCATTTTAACCAACTAGTTTTTTTAATTAAAAATTTAGAATCTCTTAATTATGAAATAAAGTGAGTTGCTCTTAATTTCACTCATGCTTGAACTGCCAAGTGTTTTGCCTTCATTTTAATTGGAAAATACTTAAAAGCTGATATTGTGTTTTCATAATGCAGTACTTTCATATTTGTGCTTCAGTTATTTTTTTCATAAATCTTGTATTAGATATTAGACATAAAATAGCTGTGCTCATGTACATGTACTGTATGAAAATGAAATCCAGCATTTAAAACTATAAAGATTTTAGAATGTACCAAAGACCCAGGTGAATATGTTTCATTTATAATACATAAGGTGTATCGCTGACAGATGATCATGATCGTCACAGGATCAATGTGCAGGGTGATTTTTAAAACCTTTTGCCAAGCAAAAATGTTATTTCAAAATCTGGCAGGAGACAATATGAAGTGTAGAACATACAGATGAAATGAGGATATTTTCTGTACTTATTTTTTTTCTAAAGTTTATCTAGAGATGGCTTCAGAGAAAGAAGGTATTGCAGAAAAGTGAAAATAATTTTTATTCTACAGTGTTTCAGATTTACGGCAACTTTAATCGCAATTGTCAATTCTTTAAAAAAAGTACAAGTTCTGATGTTGCTCAATATGCATGTATTCAGGATATACTTAGATATGTACTGTGGTATGAGGGTAGAAAAGGCATATATAAATGGGTGGTACTGTAGTGTGGATTGCTGCTGCTTTAAAGGTCTAGGGTTCTGAGTTTGATTCTGGACTGGGTGGAGTTTGTATAGATTCCAGATTTCTCCCCAAAACAGACAGATAGGATGATAGGCTGCGCTAAATTGCCCATTCCATGAAGAAGTTCAAGTGAAGAAGAAAAAATACAGGTGGCTTATTTAGTTACAGTATATGCACAGGTAAATGTAGTATCTGTTTAGTTGTATTTTTGTCCACTATTCCTAGGGGCAAAGTGGAAAAATCCTATAAATTGTAGTGCTCTTTGGCAAAATGATTCTATAGGCAAAAAATTAAAGATGATATATACTTAGAGTTTTAATTATCACTGGTGTGAAAATGTTTTACTAATAAAATAGCAATGACTATATTATTAAATATATGGTAAAAATACACATAAAATGTATAATCTTTTATTTAATCATCTTAAGCTAAAGATTCTTACAGTGCCTTTATTGTATTTGATTACCATACACTGATCCATACTGAGAAACACAAAGCAAAATTCTGAAAAATGAAGGTAAATAGCAGTGTCACACATAAAAAGTCAAGAATTTGTAGCATTTTGATCCAACTGTACTCATCTGAAAATGTGAAAAAGCAATGCAGAAGCTCTAGATTCTACCATTAACACACAAAAGCAGTAAAGATTCTGGCAGAGAATGCATTAACTGTCACCAGCTGTCAGTGAACTGATGAAATATGACAGCAAAGAGGAGATGGAGAGCGAATGTGAAAACGTCTCATTCTTGAAAGACATTTAAACTATCAGAAGATCATTTTTTTCTAGTATCAGAAATTCTGCTTTTGAGCTCTGAGCTAATCTCTACTACTGGAATTTCTAAAAAAAAAACACTAAAATGCATTCTGTATTTAGACTTTTTGCATTATGGAAGTTGAAGATGCCTGTTTATAGTGCAGGAAAAGGTTTGTGAACCCACTAGGTTTTGTCCTTATTCTCATATTTGTATACATAAAAAGTAATAATATCTTCATGAAACTATAAATAAAAGATGAAGACTCATAACAACTCATAAAATATGGTATACGATATAAGATATGTTTTTAATATTTATTTAACCAAATGATCCAACAGTTAATATCCTTGTGTGAATTTCTATGTAAACACTTAAATTCTTTAACTTCTCTTTTAGCAGCAATGACTTCAACTAGACATTTCTTGTAACTGATTATCAGTCACCTTCATTTATTTTAGAAATTAAAAGCCTTCCTTACAGAACTGTTTCAAGCCAAAGCTTTTTAGTGGGGTTTAAGCTTGGACTTTGACTTTACCTTGCAACAGAAGAACCCTACCTCTCAAGTATGGTTCTGTTAATATCGTGGTTTGCAGCTGCTGTGCTACTTTGGGACCCAGACACCTTGCCATCATTGATGAGCATGAACAGCTCACCTGCAGTGAACTCATCATGCAGGGAAGCACATAAAAATGTTACTAGCTTGAAATAGTACTTTAAGGATGATTGGGCCAAATGTCCTAAAAGACTACTGTACAGTATGTGAGAGACTTATAAACAGTTACAGGAAATGGTGGGTAGCTGTGTCAGCATGCGTAGGCTGCAAAGGAACGAGTAATAGGTTTATTCCATGTTGAAAAAAAGAAGAAAGAAAGCACAACGTTTCAGCGATTCCGACCGTGGAGCCTTCTTCAGGTGTCACACCTGAAGAAGGCTCTTTCTTCTTTTTTCAGTTACAGGAAATGTCCATTTGAAGTCATTGTTGCTGAAGGAGTTGCCATAAGTTACAGAATGTACTTATTCACTGAAGAATTTTTCATCACTTCCAATAACCGCGTATCTCATTCAGGGTCATTGTGATCTCGAGAAGCATGGAGCACAAGACAAGGTACACTCTGGACAAGACACACAGCCACAAGACACAAACATCACAGTGTTTGGACTGTGGGAGAAAATCGGACCAACCTGAGAAAATCCATGCAAATACAGGAAGCACAAGTAAACTCTTTGCAGATAGCATCCTAGTTGTTGAACCCAGGGCCTAATGTTGCAAGGCACAATACTAACCAAAGTGCCACCATGCTTCCAACATGGATATTCATTTAACAAAATGTCAAACATTCATCCAAATGTATCTTAACTTTGTGTTATACTGTACATTTAATGAGATTATCTTCATCTTTTCTTGTTTTTTGAAGACCTAATTACATATAATAGAATACAGACCTAGAGAGTTCATACATAGACTCTCATCTGTGAAGCTTTTAATATGTACAATAATATAATATCATGATATGTTTTCCTCATATTCTATTATTTTAGCTTTTGAAAGACATTGAGAAGTCATATGTGAATATAAAATTGTGTAGAATCACTATACCTGTGTATTTCATTTTTTTGCTGTCCATCTCAGGTGATAGACACTCATTTTATTGATTGCTGCTCCAGCAGGTAATGTAAGCTGTAATGAATAATACCTCATAAAAATATGGATTTGTACCGTGTAATTTACTGCAGTAGCAATATGCAGCACTTGTTTTAAAAAAACGTTCAGTGTTTTGTTTGTGTTATTTTTCTGTTTAATATTAGAGAGGTTAGTTGTGGTTTAGCCTTATAAGTATACTTTTGCTACAGTAGATGGGAAAATCTACATTTTAATATAATATATCAGCAAAATGTGTTTTTACACACTTCTTACACACAGAATATGGGAACTTCCTAAAGCACAATTAACTACATTATGTATTGTGATATTCTTAGATTTATTTTCTAGTATTTCACTATTCTAATAGTGTTTTTATATAGTTTATCTTTCATTATTTCTGGTAAAAATAAAACCACCAGCAATCAAGCATACATTTGTCTAGGAAGGCTGTGTTGTATTGTTTTATGTGTGTTCTCAAGATTTTGTTCCTTCCCATCTTATTCAACATATGGTAATTTATTTTGCTTTTCATGCTAAGCCTGTCTTTTGCAAAACCCTATGTTTCATGTAATGTCCAATTAAATTCCCAGTATTTGGAGAACCAAAGTGACAAATGGCTCTGTATTTCTGCAAGACAAGGGAAAAGACATGCCTTATCCTTATGGAATTAGCTTGTCCAGATGGAAGAGTGGGTGGCAGAATAAAGAAAGCACTCTTCCTATTTTTCCTCATCTCCTTGGTTAAACAAAAACAACCTCCGCTACTAGGTAGAATCTCTCAAGGGACAACACAAGATTGATATCTTTGAAAAAGGACTTTCTGCTCTTGGTGTCTGCACAGATCTCTTATTCACCACCTCAGCTTTGCTGCACGTTGGTGGAAGCTAATTATAGCAGTTCTAGGTGGTATAGATACATTTTTCTAATGTGTTAGACTATGTCAGACTATGGCTCAATACAAGAAAAGTTATTTAAAAAAATATTTTTTAACCGTTTATGATTATGCGTCATGAATCATGAAGGATCAAACCAATGAGGCAGCTATTTTGGTATTGGTCAGTATAAAAGTGTTTTTATACTCAATTTGGGAATGTTTGTACCACTGACAGTATTCCTTAAAAAATGAAAGAATTTCAGTTATTGTTTCTTAGAAATTCTTTTTATTGTTGAAATTAGATAAAAGATGGAGATGGACATATGGTTGGTTTAGAGCAGTTTTTGAAATCAGTGCTGGTTTCATCTATCGTGAGAGGTTTTGTTTAAAGAATAAAGGACATAGGCACTTTTGTATTACTGATCTGTTTCCAATATTTCTAAGACAACTCTTAGCTTAAACGTAACAGAAAAGAGTAATATTTTATAAATCATATCACTGCCACTTTGGTTGACATACTGTAAGTGTTTTGCCTGGTAATCTGAAAGCTTGAGACCCTGATCCATATCAAGATGAAGAAGCCATTAACATGCAGGTTTCGTGTTTTGCTTTTCTTCCCAAGAACTTGAATTCTGTGAGACGCCCCAAATGATATGCCCCAGCTACCAGTCTGAGCTGCATGCTGCCCCTCAGCATGGATACCCACTGGGCATGGGCTCCGACGTTGACACAGAAACTGAAGGTGGCCCCTCTCCCGATCATGCCCTGCGACTCTGGATGAGGGAAATCAAATCTGAGCACAGCTCCTGCCTTTCCAGCCGGGCCAATTCTGTCCTTTCCCTTACTGACACGGAGCAAGAGCGGAAGTCCGACGGGGAAAATGGTAAGAATTTTGTGAGATAAGGAAGTTATTCTATTTTTCTAATTATTTCTTTCATTAAAATCAAAATCAATTTTTCTTTACACTGATTGAGTTTTCAAGTGTTTGTTAGGAATTTTTAATAGAAATTGTAATATTTTATCACTTTACAACAGTTAACTGTTTACACTTCAGTTTGTAATAGACCATAGGCTTACTAGTGCTTGTGGATTTTTGTTTTATTGAATTTGCCTGTGTGCAAGGTTGCGAGTGATCTTTTTTGTGTGTGATTTGGGAGAAAACGTTAGTGAAATCTGTCCAAAATCCAGCATCGTGGGATTTTTTTGCTGTAAAAAATAAGAAATGCGTATATTTTATTATCAACTTGTCTAATACACTGCTAATGAATCTGTGATGTTTTAGTAATGAGCAGATAGGCATGGTAATTTCAGTGTTCAGTGATTGCACATCCTGCAAGCCTGTATTAATGCACAAAGGAGGAACTCTCATAGGATTATTGTATGAGATGCACTCTTGAATAGAGAGTTCAGGAATCATCCTTTTAAGATGTAAAAAAAAACAGTGCAGGTTTGAAAAGAAAGCAGGTATTAAATATAAACATAAGAGAGTGCTTTCATTTGAACTTTGGAAGCACAAATGATGTGCATGCCAGATTCTTCAATATAATACCTACTTTCACTCACGTATCCAGAATGGATACATACTATACATTTGATGTGGTATGAAATTTGTTTGTGCCTGGTGTATTCCACGGTCTGCTCTAATGAGCAGCTGCACTGTATATCCTGTTCACCTCTCTTGAAGTAAATCCTGTCTCAATGCAGAAAATTAAAATAATTGGCAGTTGTTGATGGAAGTTACCTTTGTGCTCTAGTACCGCACACATACACAAATACTTAGGAGCGTACGCAAATTATTTACCTTTTTACTCAAAAAAAGGTAAGCTCTGTTTGCTTTTCCGTGGTGAGAGCAGGTTCAAAAGGTTTAAGCAGTGAAAAATCTGACAGGAAAATCTTGTTTTCTCCCACTGTTTGAAGTTTGTAATAAATAATCCATGCAAAAAAAAAAGATTCCTTTTAGAAGAGCATTCATCTTTGTCTGTGGGAGTCAGCTCCCTGTGAAAGATTGTTCATTTTTTGTCAACATCTTTAAGTGCAGTCTTCCATGTACCAAGCCGGGTGTTCCAGTATAGATTATGCTTATGTTTTTTTTTTCCTACATCCATTTCTTTCACTCTTTGTCTTTGCTTCAATTGCACTCGGACAGGCACGCACACATGCGTGCATATCTAAAATGAATGGGGATGCATTATTGATGCAGTATTCTTTTTCATCAGCACAACAAAGTCTTGAAACCTTTGTACACTTACCTATCATGAAAGTGATCACTCTCACTGAAATGTCAGAAAAAATCAAAAGCAAACATCCCAGTGAAAATGGAATTATGCATTTTAAGTCAGCCTCTTTCTTGTTTTCTTTTGTCTTCAAAGGACTTTTGCAAACTCCTTAATGGCAAAGGCTTCAAAAGTACTCGGCCTGCTTTTGTTCTGGTTCTGATGGAGGTGGACAACTCAATTTAACAAATATGTTTTCTTAAAAAAAAGAAAATTAAATTGTTTGGTAGTATAAGTTAGGGAAAATGTGTTGTACACAGTAGGCTGTTATACTAGCAATACTATTAAAAACAATTTGGTGCTTAGTACCTGCTGACATGGAGGTTATCTGCAATTCACTGCAAAATAAAGAAGAAAATCTTCAGCTACAGTAGAGATTACTAGAGTAGAGTTTATCAATAAAAGCCTATGCGTAAAGCCTTGCTTGTCATTTTGAATTTGAAGCCTGATCTGATAACTTACATCATGTAACTTACTAAAAGAGAGGGAACTTTATTTTCAGTAACACACATAACAGAAAATCTTTTTTGTTAAATATTGAAACTAACAAAAGTTATGGAAATGTCATCAAAAAAGATGGACTTCAACAATCAACCTCATAAACCTGTTTCTCTGGATTTTGTCTTTACATTATTATTTGCACAAACGAAGCATTGTGTGTAATATTTGCAGTACATAGATTTTTCTTTTTTAAGTTAACCTGTGATAAGTAAACAGCTTATCTTGAACTTTTTTTAATCCTGTTAGGACCTTCAACGCTATTCATTTTCATTCACCTGGTCATGTGTGCTTCTGAAGTACAAGAGCATTTTGAGATTCACATACTGTAATATTGCACAGGAATATTGTAAAAAAATGGATGTGGAATTCTTCTAAACACGTTCTGAATCTAACTAGAAAAATTCGACGAACTAATGCTTTAAAACAAAACCAAACTGGAGCAGTGTATTTTTTTTTTTATTTTAGTATTTTTTGTAACTGTGATACAAGAATCATTATTACCGTACACATTTTATTGTTAAAAACATTCTCAATAGTTATAACTATTGTGAAAATGTGTATTGTATATATATATCAATTATATCTTATAAACATTGAGTTTCCTTAATATAATATAATTTCATGAGTCAAATGTTTTTCATTTGCTTTCCATTCATTAAAAAGCTCTGCATGTATCAAATTAGTTGCCTTCAAATGGCACCATACTGTGTGAGAAAATTAAACCTAATTTTTTTTTTCTTCTAGGTTGTTAGTATCGTATCTTTTGATATGCTAGAATTGCTTCCACTTTGGGGAAATCATTCTGATAGATATAGAACACTATGACTCTTAATTATTGTCTTCCCTTTACTGGGAATTTACTGGGAATTTACTGTTTTGTCTGCTATTTTGATAGAAGCTAACACAGGATTTTATCAATATCAACCATCCTATCATAACATGGAACACTCACATGAGACCCATTTACACAGTCCTGATGCAGTATGTGGCATGTGTCTGTGAAGTATATGATAAATACACTCCAGTGTTCTCTGTTTAACTTATGATTCACACTTTCAGGTAAGTGCTAGCATGCAATAAAACCCTTTATACTTTCTAACCTAGCTAAACAGCATACACACTAACTGTGGTAAGGTCACCTGGGATTGTCTGTTAACACAATCCTTAATAGATAAATAAGTATTAATTTGAAAAATCAAAAAGACATACAGTAATATCTGCACCACAAAACTATGATTGAGTAATGTGCATCAATTTAAACAAAACATGACAATGTGTATACAGTGATGAAACCTATAGATTTCTTAGGCTTACTTATGCTGCAGGTTATCTACAACTGGGAAAAAAATATTTAGGACTTCAGAGAATGCATGGATTTATAGGCCTACTATATTGTATTTCTCACAATTTTATGTATTGTATCAAAATGTCATAATTATACCTCGGATTTGACCACTTATCAGTTGAGAATAAAGCCTGGGTCTGTCCCTGAAACATTTACTCTTATTCAGAAAGTAATTATAGAAAATAAACATAATTGAAGGTTTCAGTAATTGAATCCTACAGTTAATTGATTCCCAGCACTTAAACTAAGCCCTGGTTTAACAAATATTTTGACAGCTGTTTGAACAACCCAGGTGTAAAGTATATACATTTAATCATATTCTCTTGCAAGTAATGTTATTTGAACTTTATTATTACTGTTTTTAACATTTCACAGAAATGGAGCACCTCATGTATAGAAGTGGTGTTAAGAAGCATTTTGATTAGCCTCATTAAAAACTCTCAATACCTCACTCTCAGATGTCAAAACATATTTTGTTGTGTTGGTAGATACAGTATTATGTTTTGCACTCTTATATAATTAATATTATTAGTACTGTAACTGCACCAGACTTTTCACAATGAGAGCTTGGCAAATGCAAGCATCATCCAACATAACACTCCTCCTCTCTTAGGAAGTTAACATCATATTGATTTAATTGGCCAAAATGAAAACAAATGGTTGGGTCAGTCCCAAAAGAAAAGTACTTCAGTTGAATGCAATCTTACCATTAATCTTTGAAATCACATCAATTGATAGCCACTTACAACTTGAAAGTGTTTATAGGCTAACTAGATTATCCACTAGAGAGTAGTATAGTCTCATCTTAAAGCTTAATGCTACCTATAATCAGCTTTGCATATACTCTATAGAACACATTATCCAAAATTTAATTTAAACCTTAGACTCTTTCCATATCTACTTTATCAGTAGGCACAAACTGGGTCATGACAAGGTGTCTAACATTTCCAGACTCTTTTGTAGAAAAGCCACTTCCGTGGACTCCCCACAGATTCCTAGCAGCAGAAAAATCAATTGAGAATGCTTTGATAAACACTGCTGACATTAAGAGGAAAATGATAATGACAAAAACTACATCCGTACTGCAAAGCACTCAATCTTGAAATATGTCACAAAATGGATTTTCTTAGAATGAAAACACATATTTTGAAACACAAGCTCCTTTTCATTTTGAATGGTTGCTACTACAAATATGATACCGCCCAGTCAGGGCTCTACTAAACTGAACTTGTGTATCAGCTACTGAAAGTGTCTGTGGGAAATGCAAAACGCATTGTGCAAAGTATGTTCCACCTCTATTAAAGATTCAACCCTGCAGTTTCCCACTGATCTGCCTTTTGTGATCTCACAGCTGCAGGTAGGAAAGTATTTTTGTACTTTCTCTCTTTCAGAGTTTTAGTGCACACATGCATTCCAGAGACTAAATCATTTATTTGCTATATACTGGTGTTTGCCCCTTTGCAGATTCTGTTTTCTTTTATTCAGAGTGTTTTTTGTATTCTTTTTTTACCTTGATTTTGAGTCAGCTTTGGCAATGCTGGAATGTCTCACGATTTGAAAAAATCCTTCTTTCTGAGAAGCTGTGTAAGGTTGGCATCTTTCCTGCGAGAGCCTTTTCACAGCTCTCCTCTTTCTTTCCTATTTTTCTATCACTGTTGTGTCTTTCTGCCTTTGTTCTTCCCCATCTGTCCTCTCTGGTACAGCGTGTTTGTCTTGCCGCCTTCTCATTTCAATGGAACACCTCTTGAGAAGTAGTAGAGGCTT